AATATGTATATAATATCAAAAGTAGATAATAGGGAAGGAGTGTGACTTCAATAAACAAGGGAAATTCGTCATTTATTAGCCTTAGAATACCTACAATTTACTACGCGTAACTCAACCAACTGGAGCTCAAACCGTACACCGTACATTCGCCTAGCATCGTGCGAAATCGTTTCCTCATATACACCCGCAATCCGGACATACAGACTAAAACGTATGACACGATTATCCATTCTGTTGCCATCAATCCGAATGTATTGTCCGCCTAACTTGAAACAAAAGGCAGCTACTAGTACTAACGACTCTCTCGGAGAGGCGGTGTTTCTCACTGGGAGATTGGCACGCTGCCGCTGAGCCGCAGAGCTGCTGCTGATTGCGGTGGGGGGCATACCAGCTGTAAATAGGTCAGAGATTAGCTCTCCGAGTGTTGCGTCGATGTCCAATCTCCCAGCGAGCCACACCGCCTCGCTGAGAAAGTCGTTAGTAGCTGCCTTTTGTTTCAAGTTAGGCGGACAATACATTCGGATTGATGGCAACAGAATGGATAATCGTGTCGTACGTTTTAGTCTGTATCTCCGGATTGCGGGTGTATACGAGAAAACGATTTCGCACGATGCTAGGCGAATGTACTGTGTACGATTTGAGCTCAAGTTGGTTGAGTTACGCGTAGTAAATCGTAGGTATTCTAAGGCTAGTAAATGACGAATTTCCCTTGTTTATTGAAGTCACACTCCTTCCCTATTATCTACTCCTGACGTAAATTGATGTCATGGTGAGATAACATGTACATAAAGACTGACTATATCACTATAAGCAACTATGCAGATTTATGTTACAACAGTTATGTGTGCAGAAGATGAAGAAGAGGCCTGGACGCGAATTTGCGATTCCCAAACCGTATAGCTATGGAAGAAAAATTGAGCAACGTGATTGGCTAGAAAATGTTTAGGACACGCGCCCACTATCGCACGCACACCATCGCGCATTTTGCACAGGGGCTTATTTATTTTATTTCTTATTATTTTTGGCTAATTTTGTTTTATTTTAGAATTAGGGTTAGGGTTAGGGTTAGGGTTAACTGATTTCTATATCTACGAATTTAGTATCTGTCTCAATGGGTCAACGTTAGCCCTTTCGCTTCGTGATCGTAAGGTACCACATTCGAACGCCAGTGTTTTTATCTTCCTCTGTGTTATGTATTTCTTTGTATTTTATTTGTTTCTGCATTTATTTGTTCTGTAACTTTTGTTTATGTTCTGAACTAAATATATTTCTTTATAATATTAGCTTATAATTTAATATATTAGCTTGTTGACTAATAATGCGTGTCCTAAAAATTTTCTAGCCAATCACGTTGCTCAATTTTTCTTCCAAAGCTATACGGTTTGGGAATCGCAAATTCGCGGCCTGGACAGCCCCTATAGGGCACAGCTCCACTGTGCTATCCCACGTGGATTTGATTTGCTGGTTGGATGATGCCATTTTACATAAAAGTTGTGTTGAGTAAATGCTACACTAAGTTAGCAATGAACGACTAGTTTCGACTTGTGGTAGTCTTCGTCAGGTTCTTCTAACTTTTTACAACTGAAAAAACTGTGCTTTTCAGCGTGTTCTCCCCCTCCTTATATACCCTAGCCCCCTGCGAGAGAGGGGCACCAAAAGGGGGCGCCAAGGTGGGTGCCAGTAGGTGCAAGGGGCCGAATTAGCTGTAAAGGGGCGCCACTGGGTCTGAGTGGGTGCCAAAGTGGGGCACAGATGGGCGCCAGATGGTATAGCTCTGGTGCACACAGGTGGGTGCCAAAAAGGGGGTGCCGTTCACATAGGTGGGTGCATATAGGGAGCGCCTCTGATCATGTGATCTGTATTGGTTGTCTTATGTCACAACAGATTGGGTTAAGACCTAAAAAATTTCAAGTAATAAGTATAATCACAACGTCTGTGCATCAGTTGATATAGACCGAATAATTCTGTCCCATATAACCTTTTTTATATTTTGGTGAGGGTTATATTGGGACAGAACGGGGTTCATTGAAATTTCGTGAGATCGTATGCAAAATGCATGCGCTGAGAATGTAGACCGAATAATTCTGTCCCATATAACCTTTTTTATATTTTGGTGAGGGTTATATTGGGACAGAACGGGGTTCATTGAAATTTCGTGAGATCGCATGCAAAATGCATGCGCTGCTAATGCGGCCCGTATGCCGCTATTGGCGCAAAGAAAATATTACCGTTCTCTTCTACATGGCTTTACCTTGCTACTGATATGTGTATACATTCACTTCTTAAAAGATTGTTTTTCAGGCCCCGCTTCATTTCACTTTCGTAAATTACATCGCCATTTACAAACAATCAGACCAATCAGAGCGAGTCTTACAATAGCCTGGTTCTCGCTTGTATCTGTGGCGCTGCAGGAGGGCTGATAGACTCGCTCTGATTGGTCTGATTGTTTGTAAATGGCGATGTAATTTACAAAAGTGAAATGAAGCGGGGCCTGAAAAACAATCTTTTAAGAAGTGAATAACGATTGAAGTGAATGTATACACTTATCAGTAGCAAAGTAAAGCCATGTAGAAGGGAACGGTAGAGTTTTTTTCGCGCCAATAGCGGCATTCGGGCCGCATTAGCAGCGCATGCATTTTGCATGCGATCTCACAAAATTTCAATGAACCCCGTTCTGTCCCAATATAACCCTCACCAAAATATAAAAAAAGGTTATATGGGACAGAATTATTCGGTCTACAGTTGATGATACACAGAAATCTGTGCATCACTTCGTGATACCTAAGGTGCCTAAAGTGGATTTGCGGCGAGTTTACTAACTAAACTACTTTACTAAATATAAAACATTTTTTGTGCATAAAATGTAAGGTACAATAACGTTGAATTGCACACGCTGATCACTACAGAAGATAGCTGAATTTAGTCATGATGCTGTTGTGTGATTGACTTGTGTAGTGGTGTTGTTTTGTTGAAGTTATTGACTATGACCTTGTTCTGGTGTTGGTGTTTTCGTGGTGTAGCTCTAATTACTTGATTGACACTGACCCGATGCAATTTGTATCATGTGCTGATCATTCTGCAATTTTGCCAACATGCAGTTTTCGCTGCCCCTTACTCACCTGTTGTCTGTCGTCCATATACGCTGCTACATGCTCTTGAATAAGGTTCTTCACACCTTAGACTTACAGAATTTACTTTCGACAATCACACCTTGTTTTTCGCAAAATTTCAGCTGTTAACACTGTATAGTGGCGCTACCTGACGACCATTTTTTCTCTCAAACAGACTCTGGCGTCAGGTCATACATTGGGCTCGATCTCCACAAATGGTAAATTTGGGGCTGTGATCCACAGGCACTTGGAACGTCTCAATAAAAAAAATTAATGGTAAATAAACACGAAATGTACCAAAGTCTTAATGTTTCTCTACTCTATTTCCCCTATAATCACCTGTAAGTGCCGGTCAAATGCTCATCTGCAACACACAAGTACATCGCACGCCCGCCCTGCGGCGCACAAACAACATGAGTAAGAGATTTATTCATCTCATTCATACCTACTTGTGTGTTGCAGATGAGCATTTGACCCGCACTTACAGGTGATTATAGGCAAAATAGAGTAGAGAAACATTAAGACTTTGGTACATTTCGTGTTTATTTACCATTAATTTTTTTTATTGAGACGTTTCAAGTGCCTGTGGTCTGAACACCTCGAGGTTAAAAAGTGTGATAACGGTAATAATCGTGTTAATATTACTCGTTTCATGCTATTTCGTTTATTTGCCATATATCAGACACACGCAAACATATTATGTGCTACAAATAGGGAAATTGGAAAAACTGTGCGTCTTCTAAATATAAGAATGACAGAGTTTTTACGCAAAACTACTAGGAAGTATGTGCTATCTACTTTACTGCTTTATGTGTAGAACTATCTCTCTTGCTCTTTCTCTTGCTCTCTCTCTCTCTCTCTCTCTCTCTCTCTCTCTCTCTCTCTCTCTCTCTCTCTCTCTCTCTCCTCCTCTCTCTCTCTTCTCGTCTTCTCCTCTCTCTCTCCTCTCTCTCTTCTCTCTCTCTTCTCTCTCTTCTCTTCTCTCTCTTCAGCTCTTATCTTCCCCCTCTCTCTCTCTCTTCCCCCCCCCTTCTCTCGCTCGCTCTTTCTATCTATATACCTACCTAACTACCTACCTACCCACATACTTACCTACCTACCTACCTACCTACCTATCTATCTATCTATCTATCGATCTATCTATCTATCTATCTATCTATCTATCTATCTATCTAGTCTAATCTATCTATCTATATATCTATCTGAATCTTACTATCTATCTTATCTATCTATATCTTATCTATCTATTATCTTATCTTATTATCTTATCGATCTATCTATCATCTATCTATCTAATCTATTTATCTTTATCTTGCTATCATATCTATTCTATCTATCTATCTAATCTATCTATCTATCTATCTAATCGTATCTATCATTATCATCTATCTATCTATCTATCTATCTTATTCATCTATCTATCTATCTATCTATCTATCTATCTATCTATTCGTATCTATCTATCCTATCTATCTATCTATCTATCTATCTATCTTATCTATCGATCTATCTATCTATTTATCTATCTATCTATCTATCTTATTATCTATCTATTATCTATCATCTATCTATCTATCTATCTTATCTATTCCTATCTCTATCTATTCTATCTATCTTCTAGTCTATCTATCGTATCTATCTATCTATTCTAATCTATCTATCCATCTATTTGTCTATCTATCTATCTATATATCTAATCTATCTATCTATCTATCTATCTATCTATCTATCTATCTTATCATATCTATCTATCTTATCTATCTTATCTATCTATCTATCTATCTATCTGTATCTATCTATCTATTCTTCTATCTATCATATCTATCTATCTATCTATCTATCTAGTCTATCTATCTATTATCTATCTAATCTATCTATCTATATATCTAGGCTATCTATCTAATCTTCTATACTATTCTAATCTATCTATCTATCTATTCTATCTGTCTATCTATCTGTCTGTCTATCTATCTATCTATCTATCTAACTAGCTATCTATCTATCTACTAATCTATCTATCTATCTGTTTGTCTATCTATCTATCTTCTATCATCTATCTATCTATCTATATTATCTATCTATCTATCTATCTATCTATCTATCCTATCTAATCTTATCTATCTATCTATCTATCTATCGTTATCTATCTAATCTATCTATCTATTCTATCTATCTATCTATCTATCTATCTATCTATCTATCTTATCTATCTATCTATCTATCTATCTATTCTATTTATCTAATCTGGTCTATTCTATCTATCTATCTATCTTATCTATTCTACTATCTATCTATCTATCATCTATCTATCTATTTCTATTTATTATTTGTCTATCTATATATCTTATTTATCTGTATATCATCTATCTATCTATCTATCTATCTATCTATCTATCTATCTATCTTATCCTATCTATTCTATCTATCCTATCTATCTATTATCTATCTATCTATCTAATCTATCTTATCTATCTATCTATCTACTCTATCTATCATCTATCTATCGATCTATTCGACCTATTTATCTCTCACCCTCTCTTTCCGATCTCATCGACCTATTTATCTCTCACCCTCTCTTTCCCGATCCCTCACGATAACTTTGGTTTATTTATTTCCCATAATTATTACTCTTCTCTATTATCTCTTCCCCATTCTTCTTTATCCCTCTCACCTGCTGCTCTCTTCCCCCTCTCCTCTTCCTCTCTTCCCTCTCTCTACTCTCTCCCCCCCTTCTATCCGTTTTACTTTCCTCAACCCACTTCATTTTTCCGCGTCTCTCGCACCCGTATTTTAGGGTCAGCGACCGAGTCACTATGGCTATATACTACAATACACTGTATTATGTACACAAACGCCTTCTAATAATTGTCTCTCTCTCTCGCTCTCTCTCGCTCTCTCTCTCTCTCTCTCTCGCTCTCTCTCTCTCTCTCTCTCTTCTCGCTCTCTCTCTCTCTCTCTCTCTCTCTCTCTCTCTCTCTCTCTCTCTCTCTCTTTCTCTAACACATCTATCTCTATTCGAATAAAGCACACATGATAACTCATTTTAATGTGTAGATTCTGGTCTCCATTTAGTTTCTCTATGTACACATGCAGGAAATCTATGTATATCTAATGATGGGGATATCTATAGGCATATAATCATATCTATGCTTTTCAGGCCCATAGCCATCTGTAGATCGTTATTGTCACGTCGTATGTAACATCGAAACCGGTCAGTCGCAAATTGGCGATGGCGGGTGCCTCGAATAACGTTCATTGGTCGTAAACGTTGTATGCGGTTATGCACACGTACGATCGCCTTATTAAATAGCGTCCTTCGGATTCCCTTTGGCCACGTATAGAACGTTCGTACATAAACCAACTTGTGCACGCGTATCTAATGCTTTTATCGATGATAGTTGGCAGGTGTGTATGAGGGTTGCTGATATCACTTTTCGATTATCCATTAGGAAGCCCTCTAAATCGCACGGCAGTGTGGGCTTTCTGCGCATAGTGGTGGTGGTGTTGGTACACGCTGCGCTCTAGCCCATGCAAAGAAAAGCTATTCACGCTAATGAGCCCGGCATCGCCGATTGATTACGCGTCGTAGCTGCTGACGCCTTTACTGAGTATGCGATGCAATCTATCCCTTAACCTGGCCGTTTGCCGTTTCGATTTAAGTGCGTGCACCGGTTTTTATTTTAATGTGATGATTTGATAAATGAATAAAATTATAGATAAGGTAATTTCAATTATTTTATTATTATTATTTATTATTATCTGATAGGAATTTTTAAGGTAAAGACGAATATAATTATCTTAGAATCTATAATAAATACTGTTTCGGAAGGAAGCGACACAGAGGGCAGCAGCGTTGATATCGCCTCCAGCTGCAAGCAGGTATCATGTGACGCAAAACAACACATAAGAGGCTCGCGGAACACACGTTGTGCGAGGGCGCACTCGCCACCGTTTGCCTGTTTCGCGGGCTAACGCCTTGCAATTTTCCTACAGACGTTACGGAACGGACCTGGCGCCGCAACCTCCACGTACGCTCCTCGTGTTAGGAGCAAATTGGCATATCGGGTCGCGTCAGTAGTGCCCGCGAAACAGGCAAACGTTGGCGCTGAGAGGTCACTACTGCAAACTGTATGCCGCCGAATGAGTCGTCATTGCAGGCTTGCGCATGTGCACCGCCAAGGGGACGGAGCGCGACGCTTCTTGACTGAGCGTTGTTTCGTCCTGCCCGCTCTCGCCGAGATTGTGGGGTTGACAGCGCCACTCGCACTTATATCATCGCTCGTCTCTGAGGAGAAAATCAACGGCTGGTATATTATATCGCTGCGCTAGTGCGTTGCCAGGTCGCGCTCCGAGCTACGCACGTGGCCCCCTCCCCCGACGTGCCTCGTGTAGGCCCCTATACCGAGTGACCCACTCAAGTATACCCCTCCGGCTGAATTGTGTAAGCCTACTGTATACGGAAAGCTGGACGATAGGCTCAGCACTTCGTCATCGATTGCTATGTAGCCTGCACAAATTACGCTCTTGCCACTATATTGGCTAGAGGACCTCCGAGACCACAGCCTACCCGAGGGTTGACTTTGAGGAGACAACCGGCGCGCGTTCAGGTGATTCTTAGAAGGAAGCAATTCAAGCCCGGTAATTTTCTAGTATTATATTAAATCAAGAATGATCCAGTTCAATTTTAGTATTAAATATGTTTCGGTTAAAAAAAAAATATTATATATATATATATATATATATTTCTAGAGTACATCCTACCATATTTGCGATGTAGATTGATTCATAGTGTGTCGCATTAGTTATGGATGCATTTGTGTAAAGCAAATTACCGGTGCATGATTTGACTGATATGGCAAGCATATGAGCTTCAGTATTATGTGTAATTAATATCGAATGAATTCGGAAGTCTGAAATCTGTTGTGAATGGGCATTCCCCCTCACATGTGCGCGCAGCAAGAAAATCGCCGTAGTGTTAAATCTTCTCGCAGTCTCTTTTATCGTCATCAACTTAAAGCATTCCTTACGGCAAAACATCTTGTCGGCGCAGAGTAATTCTTGATTTGATTGCGAATACGAGCTAATATAATAATTAAAAATGCTTTAATTTTTTTATGGATTTACACCGG